GCAGACAGAGTTCTGACTCCTGTCCTCTGAAGATGCCGGCCACAGAGACTGATGAAACGTTAGGAAGAAGAACCTCCAGAACACGGCCAAACAGCCCAAAAAACCTACAACAACCAATGTGTATAATATTTAAATACGACACCAATAAAGTTGACTTTATTTGTCTTTTATCTGTGAAACTGCTTTGAGAAAGTGTATACCTTTAAAGATGGCCAAGAACTGGAATAAATAACTTTTTTTTCTCCCCTCTCCATTAATAGTCCAGGGCCTGGTGGCAAAAACTGCCGGGGAGCAAATGTTGAACACACCGCTTGTGAAAACCTGCCCTGCCCCAAAGGGGTGCCCACATTTCGAGATCAGCAGTGCCAATCCCACGACAGATACGGCAACAAGAAGAAAAGCCTTTGGACTGCTGTCATCATGGATGGTAATTCTGCATACTTCGATCTCATGCTCTTCCCCACCCTTCAGCGTTTCAGTCACCCGAGCACCATGGCTTCATATAATGACAGTCCGACTAGACATTGAGGGGAATGTCTATACCCTATTTATTTAATAAGATACAATTTAAAAGATAAAATATTAAAATTAAAACAATTAAGCATATGATAATATGCAAATTTTATCATTTAAAAAAATCCTAAAAGAGTTTTTAGAACCATAAAATTACAAACACAGTCTCGGGGGAGTCTAATTTTAATGCCCTACATTAAACAATTAATCCTTATTCCATTTCCCCCAAGCCATAGGGCTTCCTCTGGGTTAGGTCCCTTAGGAGTCAGTGTTGCAATTGTTGCAGTTCTTAACCTTCTACTGACCAGCCATGAAACAAAGCAGACTAAATCCACTAAATGCCACTTGTAACCCATTGGAACATGCATGCAGTTGGGTCTGGTTAATGCTTGCATGAGAGAATACCGGGGAATACTAGAGAAATCTGAGGTAGGGTTGGGAAAGTATATTGCCAAAAAATCCTCGAAAAGCTGTTGCCAATCAGAGGTGGCTATATTGGGCTAAATGAACCAGCTTTTTGACTCGGCATTAAGGCAGCTTTCTATGTTGTTACATTCCTAATACAAGATAGGAAGATTGTGAGTTGTGACATAAGGGCATCATATATTATGTGATATGACATATGGGTGCAAAAATGTGGTAAACACATCCCACCTTTGACCTTAAGCATTGGAGTTTGTGGGGTGTGTTGCATGGAAAATTTGAGTTTTAGCAGGGAGCAATGGCTATGTGTTTCCATATGACCCACGCATCCAGAAATATATCTTTGGAAGCATGGACATGCTCTACTTCTGTGACTAAGATTGCTTTTTTTCCTATAAACTGATAGAAAATGTGACATGTGCACCAGCCATCTGCAAGTTCTGGGAATCTGTCTGTGGTGCCGGCTGCAGAAACACACAGCTGGTTTGCCCGGAAATGCCCATGACATCACTGATTGCTGCAGCAAGAGAAAATAGATTTTTTTTAAAAAGACTGCTTCCTTGTCTTTTTTAAAAAGAGAGAAAATAATTAATCTTCTCCCTAGGGTTGCTTGCATGTGCATAAAACATGAACAACACATTTCAAGTAATATGAGGGTGACAACATATTAAATAAAACAAGGAAAACCAGCATGTTGATGTGACTGTAAGTTAAAGACAGGCATTTATTGTGACATTTTATACTTGAGCCTGGAATCATTTCATTTAACCAAAGAGCTGTGTCCCGATGTTTTAAGTAAATAAAAGCTATCTTATCAAAGCTTTAAATTATTCCTTTGGAAAAAAAATTACCATATTTTTCGCACCATAAGACACACTTTTTCCCCACAAAACAGGGGGTGGGAAGTCTGTTAATCTTATGGAGCGAAGAAAACATATTTTCCTGTTTTCTTCTCCTAAAAAATTGGTACGTCTTATGGAAAGGTGCGTCTTACGGAGCAAAAAATACGGTAAAAGGATTTCAAATGATGCTAGAAAGAATTGGAGCCAGGTAAACTTTCTTAAGGGTTTCGAATCACCACCAGATTGGTCACAGTTGCCTATTGGCATTGTGTCAAATTACAGCTAATTAGTAAGATGTTGATTGTTTGGCTGGTCACATGTTATCTGCAATTCACCAATGCATCTTATGCATTTGCATTTGCTCTGGAGTAAGAATCCCAATAGGATTCTGGCCAATAGAGATCAATACGGAAAGCTACCAATTGCTCCTTTAAAAATCCTACTTGGGTTTAGGCTGTTTGAAAGACCTCATCTCCCTATATAAGCATCCGTGAGTTTAGGATCTTCACAGGGAGGTCTGATAGGAATGCAAGAAAAGACATATTTTGTGGTTATATGTAGACTGTGGGAACTCCTTTCCACCGGCTGGTGAAGACCATTCAAGGTTGACAAGTTTTCAGCAAATGGGAGCCTTGCTTAAGAATTGTTTGATGGGGAAACAGTGTTGGTATACTTTTCTATTCATTTCTAGTGTGTTTTTATAATGTTTTCATATAGTAGTCTCCTTACTATTATTAGATGTTTCATTGCATTTTAATATTGTGACTTGAAATGATTTTAAGTATATCTGTTTTTTAATCATTTTTTGCAAGCCACCTTAGGTCCTTTGACTGGAAAGTAAAGGCTGTAAATGAAATAAATCAGTGACTAAATAAAAATTCCCTTCCTTCTTGCAATTTTCCCACCTACCTTGAGAACCTTTAAAACCAGCTTTGGAAGACTGTAAAACTCACCAGAGCAGATTTTCAGGGAAGTCAGCTGTGTGGGGGCTGAACCTTCAGAAGCCAACATGAGTGTCATGTCGGATTGAGGCTGAAGTTTGCGAGAAAAGATTCTGAGCAACTGAAAAGTATTATAGTTGACTGTTGAATGGACCAGTCTTCCCTTATTTAAAGTGTCAGTGGCTCAGTGATCTGGGCTAAGGTCTGCTTTTTCTAAAATCATGGGTAGGGTCCAGAAAGGCTTCAGTGGGCCTCCAGGGTATATGTGCTAGGAAATAATGGCTAAATCCTATTAGATGTTTCCATCAGTACAAGAAGTGTAGAATTTGCCACAGCTAGTTAATGAGGTGTCAGTTCTGCGCCCGGTCACAAGCCTGATTGTGCGTCTAGCATGCATCTAACGTCTTGTCAGGTAGCCACAATTAACCATGACAACTTCTGCAGTTCCTGTTGTCTACATATCAAGATGCGAAAGAACTTTGCCACAGTTTGCCGCCTCTGTTTTCTCTCGGCTGGGTTAAATGCTGCAGGTTCCTTTTCTTCTTGTTCTATAAACAGATAAAATGTACTGAGGGAAACCAAGGAGGAACAGGTCTCTAGGGTGTTTAAGGGAAATGTTGGGTCAGGGAATAAGTGTTTGGAATCGCACTGCTTGGGAGTTTTAAACCTGGGAAGGGAAAGTGGGTTAAGGTTTGTCTCCATGTTTATCTGTGCATTAGTACAAATTACCTCCTTTGTCTTTTGACATACAGTATGCTTTTGTTACTTGTGTGGCCTAAGTGCTTTTATTTGCATTGTTGTTGACGAGTTAACCAAAGCACTGCTACTTTGTGTGGCTGTTTTATTTTTCAGATAAGCCCTGTGAGCTTTATTGCTCTCCCTTTGGAAAGGAATCCCCCGTGTTGATATCAGACAGGGTGGTTGATGGGACACCATGTGGGCCTTACGAAACTGATCTCTGCGTTCATGGCAAGTGCCAGGTGGAGTAACTTTTTAATTACCTTTTCACGTAGCTCAGCGTGTCCTCTTTGTAGGCTAATAGGTATGAAGTTTACAGGAAGGACGTTTCGGTTGTGACTGGGGAGCGAAGACACTGTTCCCTCTTTCTAGGTTGCGCAATACCCCAGATCTCCTCTTTCTGCCCCTTTGACATTCTTGAATGCAGGAAGAAAACTGATTTTCTTAGGGCATGTTGTCTTTCCTGGAAGCAGAATGTGAAAGCATTTTGGTGTAGAACTAAAGTTCAACTGGCCATCTGCAGAGCCCTGTGTTCTGCATTATGACAATACATCATTGATGTTCATGTGTAACACCAGCAGCTGTATGTGGTTAACCAACGCTTTTTGGAAGTACTTTACCAACAGCACAGGCTTGGGGGGACCTCTAGTGGGTCCACTGTTTTCTCTGAATTCCTGTGATCTGTGGGTGCTTGATGGTCTGTTGGCATTTCCAGCACAACTGAAAAAGGCTTTGGGGCAGCAGGCTGGTAGTTTTCCCCTAGAGATCCCATAACCAAATATATTGGTGTGACAGCTGTTACGTTTCTGGTTCCACACTGTTGGGTGACCAGCTGATAGGGGCATGGGTTAATGCTCCTCATTAAGAATAATAATAATAATTAATAATCATAGAACTGCAGAGCTGGAAGGGATCCTGTGTATCATCCAGTCCAGCTCCTGTCAAGGAGGCCCGGGGGGAATCGAACTCCCAACCTTTGGCTCTGAAACCACAGAGCTATACAGCAGTTCTCCAAAGCAAATGTCTTCTGAGCATAGATACAGACACAGAGACACAAAAATTTCATTTGTAGAACAATTGCAGGAAGTGTGTCTTGAAAGATTCGTGGGCTAGATTGGCCTTGCAAGCATTTGTTTTCAGCTACAGTGGTGCCTCGCTTAACGGGCGCTACGTTTAGCAACGAAACCACATAGCGACAAAGATTTTGTGATCGCATTGAGATGTCTCCTATGCAGTTTTTTCGCTTTGCGATGATCGGTTCCCTGTTTCGCTTACTGATAATCGCAAAACAAAGATTTTTTAACAGCTGATCGGCGGTTCCAAAATGGCCACCGGGTAAAAAAAATGGCTGCCCGCTGTGTTTTTGCACGGATTCCTCGCTTAAGAGGCAGCGAAAATGGCCGCCCTATGGAGGATCTTCACTTTAAGGTAATTTTTTGCCCATAGGAATGCATTAAACAGGTTTTAATGCGTTTCTATGGGCTTTTTAATATTGCATAGCGACGAAATCGCTTAGCAGCGATTTTTGCTGCACGGATTAACGTCGCTATGTGAGGCACCACTGTATCTAGATACCCCAGGGTTGTACCTAAGACATGACACCGCCGTGGTCCATTAAATAGACTATTGTCCAGTCTGGCTCAGCAGAAGCTTCTCATCACCTGCTACCCAGAGAACAAACCTATCCATTCTGAAGGAAATCATCCCTGAGTGCTCATGGAAGGACAGATCCTGAAGCCGAGGCTTCAATACTTTGGCCATCTCATGAGAAGAGAAGACTCCGAGGAAAAGACCTTGATGTTGGGAAAATGTGAAGGCAAGAGGAGAAGGGGACGACAGAGGACGAGATGGTTGGACAGTGTCATCGAAGCTACCAACATGAATTCAACCCAACTTCAGGAGGCAGTGGAAGACAGGAGGGCCTGGCATCCTCTGGTCCATGGGGCCACGAAGAGTTGGACATCACTTAACGACTAAACAACAATAAAAATCCTATGTGTTAACGCCCCTGCCAACTGGAGGCTCTAGTGGAAATACCCAACATTTGTCCAGGCCTTATGACAAAGTACCCACCAGTTAGGGGCACTTTGGCATAGTTAACCTGCTGTCACTCTGAGCCACCAAATGGGTTACACACAACCATCATTTCCTGACATGCAATTTCTGAGCCCATGTCAAGTTGCTGTTTTTAAAGATTAAAGCCATCAGTAGTAGCTTGAGCCCAGGGTACTTGGAAAGCTATGTGGGAGTCTAAAATCAGAACATAGTCCTCATTGCACCCCCTATGTTCAGCCACAGCTTCCTTTACCTCCAGAAACCACCTGCAGTTTTCACAAGCTAAGGGTCTGACCTAGTTGTAAAGCTGTGCCATAAATGTATAACTAATATACAGTCGCCTGAGTTTCTTTTCCTCCCTCATTTTCTTTTTTGTTTCTTTTTCCCCTCCTCTTTCTTGATTCATCTGTTTCTGCTGCTGGTCATTATTCTTAGCTTTATATAATAATTCCCCCTGTGTAATTTCCCAGCTGGTTGCGGAATTCAATAATAGCGTCTTTAAAGAATCTAAACTTGTATGTGAGTTTTGGAAGGCATCCAAAGATGAGAATGATTTGAGAATTGGGCTAAAATAGCTGTCTTTAGTCAGAGCACCTCCAGACTAAGGAGCGCTCCCCATGCCTTGCTTTTTTTAAGCTTTGGTAGCTTGTCTTGGGTAGGATCTGCTATTTTCCACATGCAAACTGAAAACGGCAATCTGCCGAACAATTTGAACAGATTGCAAGATTCCTTGACTCCAGCTAAGAGACCAAAAGCTGTTTTGTATCCCTTAAGACATGCATAACTGCCCAAAGAAAGAGAACTAGAGTCCTTTCCTGTAATCATGTCTGTGTGTGCCTGTACATGCACACATGCACAGCAAGCATGAAAAGCCAGGCTGATGTTAAGAGAGACACAAAAAACCTATTCAAGGCTATAGATTATTAGATGTTCATGAAACAAAGCCCTAGCTTTGCATGAATCTGACCATTTATGTTAGTTCTATGGTTTTGCATAAACTGCACAGTGTTGTTTAAAACCTAGCCAGAATTTGCCGAATACTATGCTCGCTGCTACTAGAAGAGTGTTGAATGTGCTGACCCATGCCTTGCTATCCTTGTTGTGGATAGGAGAAGGGGGCAGTTTTTCCTGTCCTGACCTGCAAGGTCAAAACTTGTGAGGATTTGCATTCCTGTTTTGCACTTCCGAACTTACCAGGCAGGCTAGCTGCAACGGTGGCTGGGGCAGTAGAAATGGCCGTCTGCTCCCTCACTTGGGGACAACCAACTCTCTGCAGGTGATGACTAGAGCAAGGAGCACATAGGCTTCCTTTGCCCAACGACCCTGAAAAACCTGGAGCTGGATCACCCGTTTTGCTGTGTGTGCCCCTAAGAGCCCAACCCGGCAGTGAATTGCACAGCTCAATGATTGTCGAACTATAGGCTAGCATATCGGAAACATTTGGGGTTCCCCTGTCTTTGTTATAAAGTTCAGTTTCATCCAACCCATTTTTTATACACATGGAGCTGAACTAGTTCAGAGGTTGGTCTGAATGCTCTATAGATCGTTTCTCATGTCAATACAATCACGTGTCAGTAACAATTTTTGGAATAAAACTGTTTTCTTCTTCCCATGATCTAAACCCTTTGCAAGAGCTGAGAAAGCAGTCTTCTTTTAGAAACGTTCCTCACCAGCTGTGGCTGATAAATCAAGCCCTGTGTCATGGTGCAGGTTTCCACCTTCCAATAAGCTTTTTTACCTGCTCTCCTTGCCAAGTGAGATTCTTTGCAAGCCCCTGAGCTCTAGAAGCATCTCATGAAAATGCAAGTTGGGGTTTAAACTCTGAAGCAGCCTGCTATAAACAATGCAGAGAGGCAGGAGCAGCTGCAGAAGATTTGCTCCATTTGCATCCAGGTCAGGCAGGAGATGGAGGTTTTAGAAGACGCGCACTTGTGTTGGTCATGACGATTCCATGTGCATCGTGCCATGGAGTACCACTTGGGGAAGAACAGCTCACTCAGACATAAAATAGCACGTGCTCGGAAAGCAGGAAGTTCAAAGTTCCGTCCTTGGGATCTCAAGGGATCTGGAAAGAACCCTAGAGAGCTGTCACAAAGCAGTTCAGCTAAATGGAAATGGATCTTTCTCTTTCCTGATCTGAGGAGACAAAAAACAAATCGGTCTATTAACACCTCTCACAGCATCTTGCAGGGCAGACCTTGACATCCACCTGAGAGTTTCAGGAGGAGGATTTCTAGGTGATTACCTGCATGGAAATGGATCATGGTTCCTCTGCCTTTCAGGAAACAAAATGCTGTTTGTGTCTTCATCTCATTTTTGCCTGTGGTATACTTTCCTAAAGCATGCAAGCCCAGGTGATGGCAGAAATATACGTGTAAAAATGTGGGAAGCATGACTCGTCTCTGAAAGCAAATGAAAATGGCTTTGGCATTAGGTAAGCACTTGGCTAACTACCCATCAAAATGATTCCATATACCTGTGAGTGGCTAGAATCCAAGCCACTGCACATGCTGGGATGCGCACTCAAGAAGGCTGTGGATTCCTTTTTTCTCGAAGAGCCAGATAATCCTCCCACTCTGTGCCTGATGGCAAAGTAAGTTTGCATAGTGGGGAGAGTTTGAAAAATAATTCATGTTTTATCTTGTAAAAGGGAGAGGTCTCTTAAGGAGGGCATAACCTTTTAGACTTCCTCTAAATAACTCTTCCTATCTTATCTAATAGCAATAAATTGTGAAGTGCTATAAAAGCTTCTCTGCAAATACCATAGGGAAGCAGCAAAAAGAATAAATGACATAGGGGATAGAAATCCCCACCTGTCTCACCATTATATGTGAAGAGGGGGAACTTCAGAATTGTTTGCCATACCCCAGAAGAGGGTGAGGGTTCTTGTGACACTCTTGGAAGGAAATGAGAATAAGAATGTTTAATCATCATCATTGTGTACCGTCAAGAACTTTTTCCTGGTAGAGAGGACAAAAAAGTGGTTTTCTAGTCCCTTTTTCTGGAGGTGCCCTGGGACGGTACAGCTGGCCCAAGGCCACCCAGGCTGGCTCTGCTTGCAGGGGGCACACAGTGGGAAATTGAAATCCAATCTCTGGCTCCACCGCCAGATACTTAAACCACTGAGCTATCCAGCCAGCAAGAATGCCTATTTTGTGTAAAATATGAAAAACCATAGAAAAGGTGC